CCCGCCCCGCCAGCCCGTCCCGCCCGGGCCAGAACTCAGCGCGCCTGCGTGGGGCGCGGCTGGACCGAGTGCGTCTCCCCCTGCGCGCGCTGCCCCAGGTCCCGCGGGCCTGGGTGGGGCGCGCCCGCCGCTCCACTGGAACCAGGAGGGGGCGCCGCTCCCCGGGGGCCGCCGAGCCCTCGTGCGGCGGAAGGGGTGTGGGGAGACGTCCAGGACTCAGGGCGCTGGGGCCTCCCCGAGCCGGCCGCAGGAGCCGTGGTCTCCCGACGTGGCAGTGCGTGTGCATGGTTTTGGAGGCAAGACAAAGTCATGCAGCCAAGGTCAGCGCGTCTTTACCTTGGTGTAGAAACCGCGTGGAGCTCTGAGGGCCGTCTTTCAAGTCGGCTTTGTGTGTGTGCGTTGCGTGCCAGTGATCGCTTCCTAGAGGGCCCCCTCCTAAAGGTACGGCCCTGAAGCAGCATGCCTGAGGTCTTTCAGAGCCTCTGCCTCCAGTGGGTTTCTATTTTCAGAACCAGCGTAGTACCTTAATATGATTTAAGTTTGAGCCATGCCCCATATTGATTCAACATAAAGAATATGGGGTAGGGAAGGAGAATCTACAGGGCATCCAACTCACTGTGACGGTGCTGTGTTCTGTGAGAGGGCCCTGTATGAAAAGCTGCTAAATGCCGAAAGAGCCCAGAAACCAAACAGCAAGGCAGACAAGTCCAGTTACTTGACAACTGGCAAGGGTGTTTAGTGAGTACTCACAGACAGCGTGGTCTTGGCCGCAGCAAGACAAGAGTTCGACTGTCGACCCCCAGGCCCAGGGCTGATGTACCATAGAGAAAGAATGTGAGTTCTCTGTGCAAGACAGTTCAAGACAGCCCTCCAGAACAGGCAAGAATTCTGCTGGTGGCATAGCCTACAATTTGTGCGGTAACATCAAGGTAGATGTGTTTTTACACCAACAACAGTAAATAAAGTAGGAATCCCGAGGCATTCATGGACAGGGGTTAATCAGAAATCAGTTTGGTGGGCCAAGCACCGTAGCTTACACCTGTATTCCCAGCACTTTGGGAGGCTGAGGTGGGAGGATTGCTTGAGCCCAGGAGCTTGAGACCAGCCTGGGCAAGATAGCAAGACCTCCTCTCTACAAAAAAAATTCAGAACAACAACAAAACTAGTCAGGCTTGGAGGTGCACCTGTTGTACCAACTACTTAGGAAGCTAAGGTGGAAGGATTGCCTGAGCCCAGGAGGCCAAGTATGCCATGAGCCATAATCAGGCTACATCACTCTGGCCTGGGCGATAGTGAAACCCTATCTCAAAAAAACAAAAAAGAAATCAAACTGGTGAATTAATATGCAAGATGAACTCCCTTTTATCTCTACATGCTGTAAAAGGAAAAGTAGAAAGACATAGTGACCTCAGACTTACTGGAGAAGGGAGGTTTGGGATAGCAAGTTAAGGCAAGAGGACAGAAGCTTGCAACACTAGACAGTGTTGTAGACATGCTTATGCTAGGATGTGAGGCTCAAAGTGGAGATTCAGGACACAGGATGAGGATCTAGTTGTCTTTGAGAATAAGGAAGAATAAAATGAACGGACAACAAATGTGGTTCTTTGTATAGAACTTCTCATTTGCTTTCACTTGTGAACCACATACTTAATCCAGCCCCAGCAAAGTCACAGCAGAGTAACTGTTCTCTGGAAAGGGAGGCAAAATTGCAAAATATGGGGGGCTTGCAAACCCCCCAGAAGCTTCTTCCCCATCTCAGCTCCTCCCCCTGGGCCGTCCAATATGTCTGAAGGCAGCCCTTTCCTTAGCATCTTCCCCTGTCACTCATGTTTTTCCACTTTAGCTCACCCTTCACCATAGCTCCTTTCATCTTAGAGCGTTCTTCTTGAACTCCACTCAGCATCCACTTGAACTCCATGTTGCTTCTCTCGCATTCTACCCTCATGTTAATGGAATTGGACAGGACCTCAGGTAAGTCCTATATTTTACAATCACTGATTTTATAGGAAAGTAATGCCCATCATGGATTAATGGCTGGCTCTATGCCCTGCCACTAAGTAGTGACAGAACAGGTGAATTGTTGGATCCAGAGTCTTGATACACCCCAGTAGTAGTTCTTTTACTGGGGTACATAATTTTTTCAGATACATAATTTTATTTAACTCCTAGTCTGGACCAGTTCTAGATGCTGGGATAATGTGGTAAATGAGCTGAAGGCTCTGTTCTCATAGATTATAGTGGGGCAAACAAACAATAAACACTTGTCCAATATGTCCCATGTGATGTGTGCTATAAAGAAAATAAAGCAGCACTTTATTTGAGGGGAACGCTATTTTGCAAAGGTGGTCTGAAGGCATTTTCTGAGAAGGCGTGAGCAGAAACCTGAACTGATATAATTTAATTGTATTTGACAACTGTATACTGAGTGTCTGTGAAAAGGCATAACTAAGAGTTTACACTTTAATTTTATAAGTAAACCTGTATACAGACACTAAAATGAGAAACAGACTGTAAATTATGAAAGAAATGCATTAAGTGCAAGCAAAATGCAATTGGTTTCAGAGGAAAGACAGCTACTATTTTGTCAAGGAATTTAAAAAATTGATTGATGTGGCTTTTGAATTAGGCTTTGAGAGAGGCAATGAAGGGGAGAAAGGGTGGTCTGGTTAAGTGAACTTCCACATCAAAAGAAGTCAAACTGCCCTTTTGTGTCTGTGTACATGGAACTTTCTAAAACAGCTGGAGTGAAGGTACATAAAGGGAGACTGTCAGGTGAAGGCTCCACTGTGAATGATGCCCTTCATTGGTAGATGTTGAACAACTGATGTTTTTAACTACTGAGTTGTATAAATAGAGGGCACTCAGGAAATCTCCTGTGCTACCTCTTGTCAACCTAAATGACAAACACAGGAAGAGAATTTTTAAAAGAAAATGATCTTACTCCATAATGGGCATTGCAATGGGAATATGCTTGCCACAGTCAACTGTGTGCACATTCAGGGAAGTAAAGAAAGACACAGGTTTTTAAAGAAAAAATGAAGAGGATCACATAATTGTTTTGAGATAATAATCCCTGGCTCCAAGGATCAATAACAAGGGTGGCGCCAGTCCAAGTTTGGACAGGCAGTTGCTGAGCAAATGTCCTCACAGAAGTATTTATTTGTGTAAAGTTGCAGTGGCCTTTGTCCAAAGTTGTGTTTTGTGCAGTCTTTTGTGATAATTCTTATCAAGCACTCATGCATAAGAACCCTCCCTTCAAGGCCTTCCTCAGCCATTTGTCAGGATTTTGTTTTGTTTTGTTTTTTAAAACAAGTAACTCCATTTTGATTCTGACAGCTTTTACACTCTTAAAAACAAGTGCCAGCCGGGCTCGGTGGCTCAGCCTGTAATCCCGCGCCTTTGGGAGGCTAAGGTGAGTGGATTGCCTGAGCCCGCGGGTTCGAGACTCGCCTGGGCAGTGAGACATCATCTCTACAATAAATCAAAAAATCAGCCGGACGTGGTAGCACATGCCTGTAATTCCGGCTACTTGGAAGGCTGAAGTGGAAGGATCTCTGGAGCCCAGCAGGTCAAGGCTGCGGTGGCCGGGAGCAGCCACTGCACTCCAGTCTGGGCGACAGAGTGAGACTCCAACTCAAAAAAAAACAAGTACCGGCCCGGTGTGGTGCCTCAAGCCTATAATCCCAGCACTTTAGGAGGCTGAGGTGAGGGAATTGCCTGAGCCCACTGGTTCGAGACCAGCCTGGGCAACGTGGCAAGACCTCATCTCTGCAATAAATGCTACTTGGAAGGCTGAGGCAGAAGGATCGCCTGAGCCCAGCAGGTCGACGCTGGGGTAGCCATGAGCATGCCACTGCACTCCAGCCTGGGCAACAGAGTGAGACTCCAACTCAAAAAAAAATAAACAAGTGTCTGTCATTCATACCACCCAAGTCCCTAGTCAGTGTTCAAATGTTGTCTTCAGAATCTCTGCCAATTAACTCTTTCATCATCCTAATCAAACTTTATCTTCCTATGCATTTAAAATTAAAGTCCTTCTTATGCAAGTGTATTGTCTTTGTGTTGTGTTAATTCTAAGTATTACATAAGAATTTTGATTGGTGTGTTTTACTGTTCTTGAGTATAAATAATAAATCTCACTTATTTTCTAGGACAGGGGTCCCCAAAGTCCAGGTCACGGACTGGATCGGTGGCCTGTTAGGAACTGGGGCACACGGCAAGTGGTGAGCAGCAGGTGAATGAGCAAAGCTTTATCTATATTTGCAGCCACTCCCCACAGCTGTCATTACCACCTGAGCTCTGACACAGGAGTGTCAGATCAGCAGTGACATTAGATTCTCAGGAGTGTGAACCCTGTTATGAACAGCACATGCAGTGGATCTAGGTTGCGCACGCCTCATGAGAATCTAATGCCTGATGATCTGAGGTGGAGCTGAGGTGGTGATACTAGTGCTGGTGAGCGAATACAAATACAGATTAACATTAGCAGTGAGGTTATGCACAGAGACCATAATAAATCGATTACTTGCAGACTCATATCAATATCCTGTCAGTGAGTGGCAAGTGAGGTGATGTACTTCACTTGTACAGCTGCATCTGGTGGAAGGCTTTAAGTCAGAATCTGACACTTATTTTAGTCCACTCATAGCCCACCCATTATTCTATTTACTACTTCTGTCCATGTCTCTTATTTTTTTGAATGGTGAGTTGTATAATTATTATTTCATTATATATTGCAATGTAATAATAATAGAAATAAAGTGCACAGTAAATGTGATGTGCTTGAATCATCCCAAAACCACGCTGCCTCCACCCCTGGAAAATTCAATCCATGAAAACCAATCCCGGATACCAAAAAGGTTGGGGACCACTGTTCTAGAAAACAATCAGGTCACATCAGTTTTCTTTTCATTAGGGAAACATACACACTTTTGTAACTCAATTATTTGTAAACTCAAGATTTTACTCCTTTCTTCAATTATTTGAATCATTCAGGAACTAACCAATTTATTCTAAACAAGTCACCAAGCTTCTTTATTGTAGTGGTTTTTACATCTCTCAACTGTAATATTCTTGTCATATATTTGTTGCCTTGCTGTTTCCCTTTGTTACACTGACTCATAGAGGGAAAAATAAGTTGCAGGCTTAAACAACACTTCCCTAATTTTAAAAGAGAGTCTTGTTTTTTAGAAAATTATAAAATTTTCAACTATTTCAAAAGTATAAAATTGTGTTACAAATTATAGTTAAAGAAGAAGGAAAGAAGACAGGAGAGCAAATTGCAAGAGGCAGAAGAAATGAGGGAGAATGACTGGGGAGTGAGGTAGGGGATAGACACAAAGGGAAAGGAGAAGTGAACATCCTGTCTCCCAGACAAGAGCCCACCCTCTGACGTCAGAGACAATTGAGCTCAAATTCCCACTTTGCCAGAGCACTATGCATGTGACTTGGACAAATTATGTGATTTCTCTGATCCTTAGTTTCTTTATCTAGAGTGAAAGTAAATGAGATAACTTGTGAAAATATTTAACAAATTCTAAAAAGACTGGTTTTCATTCCCCCCCACATGACTCATCCTCCTTCAGAAGACCCTCACTACCATTCTCAGCTCCTATTCTGATCATTCAGACCTCACCCTTATATTAAAAGCAAAAATGACCTCCTCTGGAACCACTGCTCCACTGCTGCAGAGCCTATCCTATCACCAGCCAGAGATTTCTTTCCACTGTTTTTATTGAAAACAGTTGTATTTATCCAGTAGAATGTAGATGAATTTTCCTAGCAGGACACTGGAATATAGGTCTTAGGTGAATCATTAAGATATCTCATAGGAGTCACTCAGGCAGAATTTTTTGGTTCAGTTGAGATTCTCAAAACTATTAGTAAAAGAAACAATAAAAATACTAAGTATGCTTATGAAAGGACAAGCATCCTGTGTCTCTTGTTTATTGATGAAACTCAAACACCTAGCACCATGCTCAGTAGTACATAACTGCTCATTAAGTATTTTGAATGAATGAATGAATGTGAGGCAGGTACAGATAGCATAGTCTAGATACAGATAGGTAAACTTCCAAAGGCAGGTGCAAATTAGATAAGTGAGGAACAGGATGGTCAACATTCAGATGCCTTCTTATCAAAACATGACTCTCCTGAACATTACCTCATGAACCAGGCACACCAGACCCAACCTTGGAATCACAAAGGCATTAAACAAGGCAATAGGGAGTTACTGGAAACACAGAGATACAGCACTCTAAGAGGAAATTGAATTAAACAGCAATTTTTTTCCATTATTTCAAGAATTATTTGTGGCACAACTCAGCTTAGGAGTAAACAATAAGAAATGAAACTTGTGATCAATAGCTTGAATCTTAACTTAGAAAATAGGTTGCTTAATCATCATTTTGGACAATATATAAAGCTTTCTGCTAACAGCAAGGCTGTGTCCTTTCCCATAAGATACCAATATGCTCTCTTAAAGGTGTTTTTCTTTCTAATAAACTTTACTTTAAAACTTTACTTTGGGCTCACTCTGAAATTCTTTGCTGTGGCAAAGTTAGAATCCCAAGAAGCGACTATACTCCATGGCACCCAACATCAAATGTATGAATAAATAAGTGTATTGTGGTACAGAGTTTTTTGTGGTCTTGTTTGTTTGTTTCCTTATTTGTTTTCAACAAAGGTTGTATTAGCTGCAAACTACTGACAAAGAGTTCAAAGGAAATTTGGTAAGCGAGAATTTGCCTGAGGAATAAATACATTCTCAGACAGCATTTCAAATTCTAGAAAGAACTCATCCCTGGTTGAGCAAAGTTTTATTTTATGATCTTACTAGTGTATGACCTTGGACAATGATTTGATTTTTCTTTATTGAGAGTGGTAGCTAAGATTAAATGAGCTAACTTGTTTAATGCCTGAAAATAAGAAGATGAGTTTAAATTTCTCACCCCTCTTTCTTCTGAAAACTCTCACTACTAAATCCCACCCTTATTTTCCATACTGATGATTCAGTCCCCACCTATCCCACTCAAAAACCAAAATTAGCAAGGCTCAGTGGCTCATGTCTATAAACCCAGCAACTCAGGAGGTTGAGGCTGGAAGGTTGCTTGAGCTCAGGAGTTTGAGGCCAGCCTCGGCAACATAGTGAGAACTCAGCTCTAAAAAAAATAAATAAATCTACTAGGCATGGTGGTAGATGCTTGTAGCCCCAGCTACTTGGAAGACTGAGGCAGAAGGATTGCCTGAGCCCAGGAGTTCAAGATTGCGGTGAACTATGATCATGCCACTACACTCCAGCCTTGGCAACAGAGCAAGACCCCATCTTTAAAAATAAAATACTTAGCTGGGCTCGGTGGCTCAGCCTGTAATCCCATGCCTTTGGGAGGCTGAGGTGAGTGGATTGCCTGAGCCCATTGGTTTGAGACCAGCCTGGGCAGGCGAGACCTCATCTCTACAATAAAATCAAAAAATTAGCCGGGCGTGGTAGCGCGCGCCTGTAATTCTGGCTACTCGGAAGGCTGAGGCGGAAGGATCACCAGAGCCCAGCAGGTCGAGGCTGCGGTGGCCGGGAGCAGCCACTGCACTCCAGTCTGGGCGACAGAGTGAGACTCCAACTCAAAAATAAACATAAAAAATAAAATACTTAAGTCTCTCTAAATCTATTACTGTACTAATATAAACCAGCCAATTTCTCAGTACCCACACACATCCCAGCCCACTGTAACTCCTAGGGCCAGTTTGATAGTCCTCTCAACATTGGTATCTTTATCAGCAGTTTTTAATTCACTCCTTCAACAAATTGATTGTTAGGCCCTTTCATTGATACTGAGAATATGGTCATTTAAATAAATATATACATACAAAACCTGTTCAATTAGAGTGCTTAGTCTAACAGGTTAAGTGAGATGACACAGAATTCTGTTAATATAAGAGGTGTGAGACAAAGCAAATGTAAGAAGCCACGTTTGCTAATTTCTGCTTGCCAGCATAATTTCACAAAATCCCTGACTCTGGGAAGTTCTCCAGAGAAAGGCTTTGAAGACAAAACAGGATAGAGCACATGGCCCCTCACATCTCTTGACTGAGTCACCATATTCTTTAAAAGATGAATGACCCTCGTCCTTGCCTTTTCCTGCACATAATATCTGATGGCATTAGTCATTATGCCTCTATAACCTATAACCGGATATACTCTTACATCCAAACCTTGATGGGCTTCTGCTCAGTGTAACTTCTGAGCAAGTTTGATGTGATTTTGCATATACTGAACCTTCACCACCTGTAGTTAAGCAATAGGCTGAAACACCTGGCCAGAGCAGTCAGCTAGAACTGCTTTTAGGTATAGGTGTCAGTGTATAGTGTCCTCAGTACCACATCTGAGTAAGATAAAC